TCTCTTTCTCCTTCGCCTGCCTCTCTCTTTTCCCTCACTTGCTTCTCTCTTCCAATTTCTAAAACCCTAGCCGCCGCCGTCTCTTTCCATGACGATTTTTCGGCGAACTGTGATGAGCCACGTGATAAATTACCTATCAAATTGAAATTAACCCCGAGTGTTAGCTTTCTAAGACGACCAAGTTCACCCCGATCGGAGATCTGTGTCAGGAGTTATCTCCATTTTCGTGCCGGGTATCCATATCTGCCCAAAGAGAAGGAAAAGTGTATCTTCTTCCAGAAAGATATCGGGGAGGACTTCTTGTTTCACCCTCTCTTTCACACTCATGTTTATGGTAGTTAGTCTCTTCTTAAACCAAGTACTAGATCTGCTTGCTAGGGTTTTAGATTATTAGGACATGGATCTCTATTGACTGTGTGTTTATGATTGCTGGTTGCTAGTAGAATGTTAAATAATGAATCTGAATATGGATCTGAATCTATGGAACCCTAAAATATGAATTGATTGTGTTTGATATGGATCTACTCTGTTTGAGATAAACTAGGTTGTGTGATATAAAACTGTTAGATCCCCGACTTATATGTTGTGATCTGTCGGTGTTGTTTGCTGAGTTAGTGCTGTCTGTGTGACCGTGGCACTAGCCCAACGGTGGGAGAAGGTACGCCGATCCTTCCAAACCAGTCTGTGTGACCTGAGGCCTGTCAGTTGTGACTGCCTGTGCCATGTCTGTGGTGACATGAGATCCTTTTCTGTGGTGACATGAGATCCTTTTCTGTGGTGACATGAGATCCTTTTATGTGGTGATTGAGGGGTGGAGTGTCTTGGCTTAGTGAGATCCCTTTTTGTGGTGATTGAGTGACCTTTTCTGTGGTGATTAGGGGGTGGAGGGACCTTGTTGATGAAACATTGATGCTCCCCTTAATGGGTCAAGGCTCTTCTGCTATTGTGGTAGTTGTTTGTAGGGTTACCCTTGTTTGCTAGCTTGTTTTTAGGATTAGTTTCACTGCTATATTCATGTTTTTAGATGGTGTTGTGGATCTTCTTAAGGCCCATTCTCGCTGAGTAATCCCAAATTACTCACCCCTCTTCCCTTCCTGTTTTATTTTCAGATAGATTAGCTATGTCTATGTTGTTGATTGTTACCTGGGCGTTGTCAATCTTGGCAGACCTGAGGCTCACCAACTGGACCAAACCATGCATCTTACCAAATGCGGTTAGATGGCCAACCTAACATGTCTGATTCCTGATTTTCTAGGAAGCCAAGATAGGGATGTTACAACTTGGTATCAGAGCCCATGCAGATCTCTTAGCTCTGTTAACATTCCTATCCTGACTTTCTAGAAAACCGGGAATCGGACATGTTAGGTTGTCTATCTAACCGCATTCGGTAAAACGCCTGGTTTGGTCCAGTTGGCGAGCTTCAGGTCTACCAAGATCGAAAACGCCCAAGTAACAATCAACAACATAAACATAGCTGATCTACCTGAAAACAAAACAAGAAGGAATGAGGGGTGAGTAATTTGGGATTACTCAGCGAGAATGGGCCTTAAGGAGACCCACAACACTATCTAAAAAATATGAATATAGCAGTGAGCCTAATCCTAAAAACAAGCTAGCAAACAAGGGTAATCCTACAAACAACTACCACAATAGCGGAAGAAGCCGAATGGGGTGAGGGAACATCAATGTTTCATCATCAAGGTCACTCCACCCACTAATCACCACAGAAAGGGATCTCACTAAGCCAAGACACTCCGGCTCCAATCACCACAGAAAATGATCTCATGTCACCACATACATGGCACAGGCGGTCACAACTGACAGGCCTCAGATCACACAGACTGGTTAGTAAGGATCAGCGTACTTTCCCCCACCTTTGGGCTAGTGCCACGGTCACATAGACGGCATTAACTCAGCAAACAACACCGACAGATCACAACAGATAAGTCGGGGACCTAACAGTTCTATATCACATAACCTAGTTTATCTCAAACAGATTAGATCCAGATCAAACACAATCAATCCATATTTTAGGGTTCCATAGATTTACATCCATATTCAGATTCATTATTTAACATTGCACCAGCAACCAGTAATCATCAACACACAGTCAACAGAGATCCAGGTCCTAATAATCTAAAACCCTAGCAAGCAGATCTAGTACTTGGTTTAAGAAGATACTAACTACCATAAACATGAGTGAAAGAGAGGGTGAAGCAAGAAGTCCTCACTGATGCCTTTTTGGAAGAAAATACATTTTTCCTTCTCTTTGGGTAGATCTGGATATCTGCCACGAAAACAGCGATAACTCCTGACAAAGATTTCCGATCGGGACGAACTTGGTCTTCTTAGAAAACTGACACTCAGGGCTTGAATCTGATAGGTAAATCGTTGCGTGGCTCATCACGGTTCGTCGGAAAATCTTCATGGATGGAGGCGGCGACGGCTAGGGTTTTAGAAAGTGGAAGAGAGAAGCAAGTGAGGGAGAAAAGAGAGGCATCCGAAGGCGAAAGTGAGGAAGAGAGCCACGGTGAGATAGAGAGAAGGAGGATGGTGTGGCTTAGAGAAGGAGAATAGAGAAGAAGAATGTGGATAGAGTTTCTAAAAGTGAGAATGAGAGATTAAAGAGATATTTATAGCTAGGTTTTAGTTTTGTTGGGTTAGACTGGTCTAATGGGCTTCGCAGGAATTAAAAAGAGATTAGAGAAAGATTAATTAGAAAGAAATAAGAAAAGAATGGCTTAATCAAATTAAATTGGGATTAGAAACTGGTAACAACAGATATCTGGTGTACCGAAGGTTGTTACATGAAATCTAATAGATTACAAAGTAAGAAAGCAAAGTTAAAGTATCAACCATAGATAACCGTACGTAGATTAATATTAACAGAAACAAAATGTTGCCAATAAAGACAAGGATCACGAAACCGTTTAAGTAACTACAACTGAAGAACAACAAAAAACGGTTTTAGGTTACATTTCATGAAAGATGAGCTTCAAGGCGGAAATATCTAACTGACATTGAAGATGACGACGAGAGTATCATCTTGTTGTCTACTGATTCTTCAAAGAAACATGAGACTCTCAAACTGACTAAAGTATAGAGAATATAATATGGTGGAGGAATTAATATACCAAAGATAGTTATAGTGTTCCAATACCTTATGCTTGATGTCGGTGGCACCTTCTATCTCAACTTTTCTCACACTATTTGTTTTCTGATTGTTTGACCATCTGGTTGTCCTTCTGTCTAGTTTTCTGGCTTTAGAATATTATCCTTTCATTTTGTTTGTTCTTTTCAAATAACGTGATACGAGAACGAATTCAATAATGCAGCCTCGCCATGGTTGTTACAAGTTTGTTTGCCCATTCATTCCCTGATTTGATTCGCATATGACAGTGTACGTGGCCATATTGCCATGTAACGAGAGATGAAGGTCATGTAGCTTTACTATCAAGTCATTCATGCCATTATAGCGCATACCTAAATATTGTTAGGATCAGTCATTACTGTCATTAGTAAGAAAATAATGCTTAAAGATTCGTCTAAACTAATTACACATGGTGCTAAATTTTTGCTTAAATTAAGACATAATATTTATCCTCAACAACAGATATGATAGTTTTTTTTATAGTTTTACTAAATTCATCTTCCAAAATTATTTCGAAAGAGTAGAACCAACACATTTGGACCAAAGTCAAAGAAACCTCTGTTTGCGGCAGATCATTTCAAATATATTTTCTGATCTTCAATTTCCCAAAGTGGTCACTGGTGGTAAAGTTACAATTGGCCAGTTTTATTCCTCATGTTCTTGCACTAGATAACCTCGTTATTGTTCAAACTTTGCAGGAAAAGAAAAAATCACTTTTTTAAACCTCTACATATTTCAATGGCACTTTTACCCCTACTACTCTATTGCCCCTAGACGATTATGCACGTTATTGAGAATATCTAGCAAAATTATCTCTTTTTTCTTTACCTTCTCATCTTTAAAAATCTTAGAGCCACTCTGCTAAATATTAAGAAAATCATAGATTAACAACTAAAAGCTATCTAACTATTAATATGCGCATAAATATGATTAAAGTCAAATGAAATCTATTCCATATTTTAGTGACATACTCAAATATAGAATCTAGTACATCTATATCCATAGAGAAAGGCAAAACCACGTGAGAGACCGAGAATGCCATACGTACAACCTACAATGAAGATGGTAACATCAACCACCAACTTCCATAGTGCTTATAAGTTTGATGGGGTAGATAGCCACCAACCTCTTCTAATTCTTTTCTATGAGTAATAAATAAATTCATATAAATCCGCATCACCATATATATTTTTGATTACAAAAACTTATATAAAACTGGTATTAGTTAGAAGCTAAATTCCATATTAATCCCAAATCCATAAAAGTTTAGTTGCTTTTATCATTTAACGTGTTTACGAATGATCTAATGAAACATTCAAATAATATCACTTTTGAGGAGATTCGTAGTAAATCTTTAATTTGAAAAAACTGCTAGCTCATTCACTAACACGTGATTATAAATTTCTGATTTGCGATTCCTAGCACGTTATTTCGATGTGTGAAATTTTATCGATTATTTTTTAATTGAATCACATTTTTGAATCGGCATAACCATATCATACAATATATATTTACAATGAGTCAGCTATATTTTGATAAGTGAGTTGATTTATATTTTTATTTATTTATTAATTTCTGTAGCAATCTTATTTCAAATATCTGATTTTTAATTAAATTTAGTTAAATATATGTAATTAAATGGTTAAAATTATATAAAAGTATATATATGATGAAGACATCAAATCATGTAAACATTTCTCTTCTAAGATCTTGTATATTCACAATTCATAATCTACAAATTCACAATTCATAATCTTCAAGGCCATTAAGGTTTCAGCCTCACCAACCACACTTTATTTGTTCTCTTTTAAGTATTAGACCAGCCAAATGAATTAGTCACTTGTTTAATAATTAAAAAAAAAATCTTAAATCTGAGAGATTACGGATATAGAGAAGTTGAGACCCAAAAAAACAAAAAATAGGTTTGTCCTCTCTGCCGGCGGGAGAAAACTTCAGGTGAAACCCTTTTGATTCTCTGTAGAATTTGTTCTTTCTTCTCAGTTCTCCAGGTCGTAATTTCGTTTCTTATCGGAGTTTCTTACCGCTGATTTAGTTGTGATTTTTTTGTTTTTATATGTTGTTTTTCAGGAAAGTGTCATTCTTTTTATAACAAAAATTACTCCCCTTTTGCGATTCAATTTGATTTGGATAATCATTGTTTTTTTCCCGGAAAGTTCGAATTTTCTGTTTTTTTCCCACTGGGTAATCATTTTTTTTTTGTTTCTCCATTGATTTCGCCACAGCTTTATCAACCCTTTATTTATTTATTTATTTTGCTATATACCTGCTTTTCAAAAAAAAAGTATCATCATTTGATCGAAGCTGAGATTCCTTGTTGAAAGTGGGTCAATTTTGATTTTTGTGTGAACTTTGATGAAAAAAAAAATCGATTTTTGAATTCCGTTGTTCTATGGTTTGATGTGGTTCATAAGGTTTATTCGTCGATGTTGACTACTATCTAACGAGGGTTTTGTGAGATTGATGTCTATGGAGCAATAGTTTTCCCTTAATTATTGTCAAATTCTCCTCTGTTAGACAAGTTTGTATTGATTATATGGAAGTACTTGTCACAATGGTTTTGGCAGTTGCTAAGTAAGCTGAATCTAGTTGAAATTTGCTTTTGCAGGGACTTTGAATTTTGTGTACTGAAGATTGTCTAATTGGTTTTCATATGGAAGCAGCTATTGTTCAGAGGTTTCAGTTACCATCATGGTTTGATTGTAGAAATTTTGAGGGGAAGCCGCATGGTTCGTTGCGGTATACTCAGCGAGCTAAGGATGAGAAAAGGTTCAAAGGTCTTGCTTTGGCTCATTTGCAACCTGAGAGAACAAATTATCGACGTGGATCAGTTTCTTCAGAGGTTTCATGTTCTGATAACAAAACTTCAGGTTAATGTAAATTCATTTGGATGCTTTGATGTTTCAGGAGTATTAAATTGATGAAGGACATGAACATCTGATTCAATCTTTGATTTTTTTTGTAGCATTGCTGCAGGCGGGAAGTGTTCATCCATTTGATGATGAAGATCTAATTCTGAAGGCAAGAAATGATCCCCTTTTATAACATCTTAATCGTATGGATTTGTTTTAGATTTTACTGTTTCGTCTGTAAAATCTTACCGGAAAATGGATACATGAGATTTGCAGAGAAAAGCAGAAGAGGTTAAACCGTATTTGAATGGACGATCTATGTACCTTGTTGGTCAGTTTCTTTGTTTGCTCCTTTGTTTGCATATGGTTAGTTCTAAATACTTCCTTGTAATTTGATGATCCCGTTGTGACCATACAGGAATGATGGGTTCCGGTAAAACAACCGTGGGAAAGTTAATGTCTAAGGTGCTCGGATATTCGTTCTTTGACTGGTATGTATGTGCTACTTTTAAGCTCTGTTAATAAGTGATTGGTTCTGATATAGGATTAGGATAAACAAGTCTAATAATATTAAGAACAGACACTGATAGTAAAGCCTTATTGGTTTTATCTTCCAAAACTCAATGGAAGTCTCCTGCACGAGTTGTTACCTTGATTTGGAGTGAGTTATGAATGTGGTTTGATATTCTGGATGTGTAACCTTCTATATGTTTTGTGAATGTGTCAGCGACACTTTGATTGAGCAGTCAATGAATGGAACTTCTGTTGCAGAGATATTTGTGAATCACGGAGAGAGTTTCTTTAGAGGAAAGGAGGTTAATTTGTGATCCTTGTGATTTAGTTTCTGGTTCTTGTTTCAAGCCTACTCGTTGTGAACTAAATTTCTTTCTTCCTTTTAGACCGATGCACTAAAGAAGCTCTCTTCAATGTATCAAGTTGTTGTTTCCACTGGTGGAGGTGCAGTGATAAGACCCATCAACTGGTGAGTTCTTTTCATCCTGTCCAAAGTAAAATGTATGAAACTTTGTGTCTCTGTTAAATTCATTTGGTAATCTGACGATATTATCAGGAAGTATATGCATAACGGCATCAGCATTTGGCTAGATGTGCCTCTAGAAGCCTTAGCCCATAGAATTGCTGCTGTTGGAACTAATTCACGGCCACTGCTACACGATGAATCAGGAGATGCATACACAGTGGTACTCATCTGACTATTGTACAATCAAAAGCCTTGGATGCTTATAAAAGAAAATAACCTTTTTATTTCGGGTTTGTCATCATGAATGAATTACACGCAGGCTTTTAAGCGTCTTTCTACTATTTGGGATGAGCGTGGTGAAGCATACGCAAACGCAAATGCCAGAGTCTCCTTAGAAAGTATGTCTTCTTCATTCATATGCTATAAGCCTTTGTTAAATCTCTGTGAGTTTTCTTGAATATATGCAACACTCGAGAGACTTTTTCTCTCGCAACTTCTGGTAGTAACATAGCTTTTCTTCCTTGTACTCCAATTGTCAGATATTGCAGTCAAGCGTGGCTATAAAGCTGTCTCAGATCTCACACCAGCTGAAATCGCCATCGAGGTATGTCAGGCCCTTTCTCTGTCGCTCCGTACATTAATCTGTTCAATTAACTCAACTAATCAAATCACTCATCACCAGGCGTTTGAGCAAGTTCAGAGCTTTCTAGAAAAAGAAGAAACTATGGACAACATCCCGGACGGCGACCTCTAGTTCTCTGTCTCTTCATTTATCTGTTCGATCAACTTAACAAAGCAATCATTCATCACCAGGCAGTGAGCATGTCTAGAGCTCTCTAAAGCAATTACAAGAGTCCAATTTTGACTGTGGAAAAACCACAAACACTGCTTTATTTGAAGAAGATGCAATACATGCATATAACTTAATAATACACTTTTTTTGTTTTATCATCATTCTTCTTCTCTTTGTCCCTTTGAACAAGAGAAAGTATCCATATTGGTTTTGTTAAGATGATCATGGAGCAAGACAAGTACAGAAATTTATTAATGGTATTATTAAAATCTGAAAGTAGCTTTCACATGGAATGCAACAAAAGCAATGAACAACAACATACAAAAGACAGTTGATTTATCCCCAAAGTACAGAAGCAAAAATCTATAAATTTCACTACACTGGCCAGTTATTTCATCTTGTCTCACAGCCTCGTGCTATACTCTTTGTCAATCCACCATTCCTGACAAAGCAGTCTAAATCACGACGCTCATCACAATGATAGCTACTCACAGCCGAACATAACAGAATCAATCACAGTGAATCAAAAGCAGACCTGTGTGGGTGGCATGGATGATGATTCAGATTCAGAGATGGTGAACATGTTTTGTTAAAATCTAAAAGATGATCATGTATATAAACAAGTATCCATATTGGTTTTGTTAAGATGATCATGGAGCAAGACAAGTACAGAAATTTATTAATGGTATTGTTAAAATCTGAAAGTAGCTTTCACATGGAATGCAACAAAAGCAATGAACAACAACATGCTAAAGAGTAAAGACAGTTGATTTATCCCCAAAGTACAGAAGCAAAAATCTATAAACTTCATTACACTGGCCAGTTATTTCATCTTGTCTCAGCGCCTCGTGCAATACTCTTTTTCAATCCACCATTCCTGACAAAGCAGCCTAAATCACGACGCTCCTCACAATGATAGCTACTCACAGCCACACATAACAGAACCAATCACAGTGAATCAGAAGCAGACCTGTGTGGGAGGCATGGATGATAATGATAATGATGATGATGATTCAGATTCAGAGACAGTGAACATGTATGTAGTAGTATCATCATCAAACTGTAGCTGCCAAGCAATTCACTATGGCGGATTCATTAGGAACCGTAAGCACGGTATCGGTCCATTCAATCTTGCCCCAAATGTCTCCTTCCCCGGACCTTTCAATATCAATCTCTGCACACCAAATCTCCATTCTCCTAGAACCGCCACTACCCGCTTTTCCTTCCCACAAAACCGCAAGCTTTCCACCACGATTCGCCATCGTAGCACCACAGAGAAACTTTGGAAGTGTTTCCACACCTCTGAGCTCTCTCCAAATCCTATCTTTCGGATCATACCCTCTAATCTTCCCCAAGTAATCATAGCAATACAGTATGTTCTCAATCACACATGCTCTTCCTCTCCATCCCAAATCAAGCCTCTTCTCTGGCATATCCCATTTCCTTTCCTTGGGCTCGTAAACGACACCGTTCCGATCAGCCATTGCGTAGACTTTCCCTTCCATCACCGCACTTGCGTGCATCCATTTCTCACGCACCTCCATCCCTGGGCTAGCCACTGGCTCCCAAGTTTGAGTCTTTATGTCGAACATCTCTGCCCAGTTAATCGAACGAGCCCAATTATCAACCACACATCCTCCGATCACATAAATCTTCCCGTCGATTACACCAGCTGCTGCGAATTCGCGACCGACCCTCATGTTAGAGACTCGTCGCCAAGTATGAAGCCGGCAATCGAGAACCCACACGCTCGAGGAAGGCACGTCTCTGATGGATCCACCGATTACGTAAATCTCCGAATCCACCACGGCGTAAGCAGACCCGACAAGAGACGGTGATGGACAAGACGCGATGGGAACGAGGAGACTCGAATTCGTTGAGCTCGATACGGTTCGATTTCGATTGGGTTTATGGAGGAGAGTGAACCAACACGCACCAGATTCAGGAGGTAAGCGGATTGCGACATAGAGGATGTTTTCGGTGGCGCCGACGAGAGATCGTGTGGCGTAGAGCAAAGGCGATTTGGGGAGTGACTGGAAAGCCTTGGAGACGAGGGAGAGGATCGGATGTTGACATCTAGAGATTCGGGCAAGACAATTCAGAGCAACGTCATCTGATAGTGACGGAATCAATTGCGCCGGCGTTTCCGTTCCCGGTGGCTCGTCGCCGGAGCTCGTTGTAGCCGCCATGGACCTGATCTGATTAGTAGTTACTCACTCCAACGACATTTCTTTCTTCTCAATTTAAACATTACTCTTTCTTCTCGGTTCGATTTGATCTGAGCCGAAAAAGTATATAATTTAGAAACTTAACCGGAGGTAAACCGATAAACCGCCGTTATCTATAACTGATGACGTGGCGGAAAGCATGGTCCGTGGTTTGAAAGACGCCACGAGCTTTTCTCGCCTTCCTTTCGTCCTCCGACGTTTCCTCAGAAGAAGAAGAAGACGACGATAAAGCGTTATTTAACTCAGGTTTCGTAAAAGTCAAACGCGAAGAATCCATTGAAGCGATTAATAAGAATCATGATTGCATTAGCTGTATCTTCGTCGGGTATTTCTCCGATGGCTTCGTTTCACCGGCATTGTAGATTCCGGGAAACTCCATGGAGCTTCCGATTGCATCCACGAAACCCTCCGACTCAGTTAGCAGTTTCACCTTCGTCTTCTTCGTCTACTACTGCTTCCCCTGGGTTTGATTTGAGTGCCCTCGAATCCGCAATCAACAAGGTCTTTTCTTTACTTCAAGCTTTCCTTTTTCGTCAGTGAACTCTACTTAAAGCGTAATTCTTAAAAATGGGTTTTATGTATTGACGCAGAAAGATAGCAATGGTGTTAAGGAAGCTCTTGATCGATTGAGCGAAGAAGGTTGGGCTAAGAAATGGAGTTCTCAGCCTTATCTTTCGCGCCGTACGGTGTATATCGATCTCTCTATCTAAGCTTAACCTTTAAAACTGTGAAAACAATCGTGTTCGTTCGATGGATGAGTGAATTTGTGATGTGTGTTTTTTGAATCAGACATCGCTTCGGGAGCTGACAACTCTTGGAATCAAGAATGCAGAGGCTCTCGCGATCCCTAGTGTCAGGAACGATGTAAGTTATGTTTTCTTGTAAGATTTGGACTCAAATAGAGTTCTTGAGGCTACAGTGTATATGTTAATGGAGGTTCTTTTGATTGAGTATGAGTAATGCTGCAGGCGGCTTTTCTTTTCACGGTGGTTGGAACAACTGGGTTCATAGCTGTAATTGCCGGCCAACTTCCCGGGGTAAACCTTCAAAACTCTTCTTCTCTGATGTTACAAGACACGAAAAATCTCTAGTATAGGTAGAAGACGCCTAGCAGTCTTGTGGAATGTTGTTAATATACCAACATCTATGTCCTGCAGATCGTGTATCCATGTCGAAAACCATATGAAAATGTCTCGGTTTCTGTTGATTTTGTTTAGGTTCTATGTGTGTAAGAGAGATGAATAACTGTTGAAATCTGGACAGGACTGGGGATTCTTTGTGCCTTACTTAGTTGGGAGCATTTCATTGGTAGTTTTGGCCGTGGGAAGCGTTTCACCAGGGTAAGAAAAGAACTAAAACCACTGCGTGTTTGTTAACATTATGTTCTCTGGGTTACAGATTGATATCTTCTCCTCTTTTGTTCTCCTCTTAGGCTTCTTCAAGCTGCGATTTCAGGGTTTTCGACATTCTTCCCTGATTATCAAGAACGTATTGCTCGACATGAAGCAGCCCACTTCTTAGGTACTCTTTTATAAGTTTAAACCCTTTGTTGTAGAAGTGCGATTTTCTGATTGTGTTTAAACTTGCAACTTCCAGTGGCTTACTTAATCGGACTCCCAATCCTCGGGTACTCGTTAGACATCGGTAAAGAACACGTCAATCTCATCGACGAGAGACTAGCTAAACTAATATACAGCGGCCAACTTGACTCAAAGGAGCTCGATAGGTAAGAGTTTTTATCGATCTCGGAAAAGAGAAACAAAGGATCAAATCTCAACCCATTGAATCTTCTTTGGTTTCTCAGGTTAGCCGCTGTGGCAATGGCTGGACTTGCCGCCGAGGGTCTGAAGTATGACAAAGTGATTGGCCAATCTGCGGATCTGTTCTCTCTTCAGGTCCTCTAATTCTTCTTTACATCATCACTCACTTTCAACTCACACATTCACAAACATCGAGTTATAACAGCTTTTTTAACTTCGTACAGAGGTTCATAAACAGAAGCCAACCCAAAATCAGAAATGAACAGCAGCAAAATCTAACAAGATGGGCTGTAAGTTTCTCTTACATAACAGACTTTAATCTCTCATACACATGTTTCTTCCTAAAGTATTCAATGAATCTTTTGTTTTTGTTATGCAGGTTCTCTACTCTGCTTCTCTTCTGAAGAACAACAAAACCATCCATGAAGCTCTAATGGCTGCAATGTCCAACAATGCATCTGTTCTTGAGTGCATTAAAACCATTGAGACAGCTTCCTAGACTCCACATCTCCCGAATTCTTCAAATACAATCTGAACAATGTATATTGTCTCTTCTGATCGATCCAATTTCAACAACACTAAATTGATTCACAGAAAATTCCATACCTTTTATATATATAGATGCAAAAGTTACAGACTTTCAATATCATCTTCAAGCACCATGAAGAAACGATGGTTGAAGATCAAAACTATATAATAACTATTATAGACCGTGTACAGTGGTTATTATACAAACATTTATATAATTTATGAAATCTAAAGATCATCGGACCAATCACTAGGCTCAGTGTCGTAGAACAAACCATCGACGATCTGATCAACCAACGAGTCAATGAACGAGTTGCAACTCACTGTGAAGATCCGTCCGACTCGGTTCCGAGAAATCGTTAACCAGGCGAATATGGCTGCGAATCCCATCGCTCCAAGACCCGCTCCAATGGCTTCACTCAATCCCTCCACGTCCAGCTTCTTGAACAACGAGTTCCCAGTAACAACCTCCTCCGCCACAGTCGCCGCAAACACAATCTGCAGAATTTACGAAATCACCTCCGAATTAAGAAGGAAATCGAGATCGGAGTTTCGAATTTCAAGGGTCTTTTTTACCATGGCGAGTCGGCCGGAGATTGTTTCAAAGTCCTGACTCTTCTTCGAGCTCTCTATGTAATCATTGAGCGTTTCGAAAAACGGCGTCGCTAACTCCGCCTCAGATCCTCCTCCTCCTCCTCCGCCGCCATCTCCGCCGTCTTTTCTGGCGACGACCATCGCACCTGGCTCAGATCCATAAGATCTCAGCGTGCAGAGCCTCGGCTGAAGCACGATCTTCCCGTTCTCGGCCAAATCGCCTCCTCTCGGTCGCTGCTGGATCTGGATCTGCTTAATCGGTTCCGATGACTGGCATCTAGTAACAAGTGACGGTAACTGGAATCGAATCGTACGCGTCGCCATAGCCATTTCCGATGAATGATCCGAGGAATCTTTGAGAGAGAATTTGAGTGAATTAGAAAAGGAGGAGGAATCTACATGGTGACTAAAGAGTACACGTCGTGTCGTTTTTTGTGAGGTGGCAAAATATAGTTCGACGTGGTTTACTTTTGGCTCAGTAACGTGCTTTTCAATCCAAAGTAGATTCAACATTTGAAACTACTTGTCGTTTTGCTTTTATCCACTCGAAGCTGAGTGAACCAGATTCAACTCGACCCACTCTTTGGTCTATTGACTCTATTTGAAGTTCTCTAAATATCTTTTTTCATCGATGTTTAGGTTTAGGTCGGCCCATTTGGAATTATAGACATGATACTGTAATTTGAGTATTTGAAATTGATAACTGAATTCCCATTAGATCAGATAAAGACAATCTTTGAGCTTTGAAACCTCAAAAAAGACAAGTCACACTTGGTCACTTCCTCGAGCTAGAGCCTCTAAACAATATAATGTACCTTGTTAGATTATTATGCAACTTCCGAAGATATTAGTTACTTTTGACTCAGTTCAACAAGATTTCAATTTTATATTTGACACTTTAATTGTTAGTAAATTCTATTAGAAAAGTTTGATAGGATCTATAAGCCAATTATTCACTCATTGTTTAATTCTCTATGAGACTTAACTTAAAATCATTACATTGTTGCAGAACGACTTGTGTTTGTTCTTTTTTATATTATCTGATTCATAGATTGACTATCAGTTTAAGAAAGATTATACATCTAAAATCTAGTTAAGAAAAAATCATAATCATGAAGCTTTAGCATATTTGATCTTGCAACCACAAAGACAGTTACACAAAAAAAAAAAAGAGATGAAAAAAACATGCAGATTCGTTTTTAGTAAACATTGTGTTATAGTAAACATTGTCAAATTTCAAATTATGGGATTTATAACGAAGAAAATTCCCTATTGCACTAGATTAACTTATTCGTTTTTGGTCATTTTTCCATAGATTATTAGTCGTCGTTCCCCAATAATATCAATCATAAGCTAAATCTAAAACACTTGTTAATGTATAAAAGAAAGAAAAGAAAAACTAAACCTGAATAAATCTTCATGTATTAACCTCAAATACTTTCTTATAAATCATCCTAATCAAACAATACATCACCTCCAAATCCATCCTCACATTCCTCACTGCTCATCACCAAAACGACGTCCCATATGCACACATCACATATATCATCATGATACTATATTCACACATATCAATCCACAATCCCATTTCGATCTCCATTCCGGCCACCGTCTGATCATATACAATCAAGAACGTTCCCATATCTGTCTCCGACCATTACATCAAATATTAAATATCATACTCTTACAAAGAAGATACTAAGCTCTGGTCCATTATTCCCTTCAGGGCTCAACATATAGAAAGTCTCTGAATCTTTAGACCCAACGACTCGTTCGAAGTAAGCCCTCATGTAAGCCATCTCCGAGTCAGGTCCTTCGACCTCCGAGTTCCCCGGCAAAACTCCGGCACCCATCGAAACCGGTCTTAACAACTCCATAACGTTAAGATCTTCCTCACTCGCGTCACGTTTCACACCATAACCCGTTTTCTTACCGTTGCAATACATTGTCCACAACGGCTCGTCCATTATCCTGATCTTTTCTTTATCAGCTCGTTTCTCCGTTTCTAAAGCGATCCTAACCATTCCTCCGCTTAGTTCCTTTTGTAACACCATCGTTTGCATTGCGAGCTCGACCACGAGAGATGGTAAACATCTAGGGTTTTCTTGAATTGAGAGGCTTACACGGCCTTTTCTGTATCCGAATAACGTTCCGGTAACTCTTGACCCGCTTGACCCGCCTCTATGCGGGTCGGGTAAGCTACCTCCGGGAAGGACCGGGATTTTGCAAGCCGCCGGTGTGATGATAGGAAATGAACGAAAAACGGAGCGGAAGACTCGAAAGACTTTCTTGCTTTTTTTCTTGTGTTGATGAGATGGTTCGAGTAACGTCACGTGATGACGTGGCGCCGGAGACGGTGAAGGACACGGTGACGGAGAAGGGGTTGAATATGAGTCCGTGGAGGAAGAAGCACCGCTTACCCTTGCCCGTGGCTCCCCCATTAACGACGGAGACGTCGACGAAGATACGACGACGTTTGTTAATCGAATATTTCCTCTTTCTATTTTAGATCAAAGATTAATAATTTACACTGTTTTCTTTGGCTTTTTCCCTTCCACCACACCTTTGAGTTTTAGGATTTTGGCTTTCTAATTTTGTTTTTGTTTAGAAATTAGAATGGTTTACATAAAAGTTCTAAATTTTTGTGTTCGCATTGGTTATAGTTTATATATAGTTGTTGTTTTTATTTTGAAGTGTGACCAGCCAGCTCTATGCTCTATTTTAAGAGTAGGAGCCAAAGCTGTTAATTTCAAACATGTGAAAACAAATAAACCGATAATTACTGAAAATAGAGATATGTAAATCAAGTCTTCGTTGTTTGTCTGTATAGGTCAACGTTTAAGTGTAATCGGCTGTAAACAGTCCAAGTCCAACTTGGTGTATAGTGGATGTTGTAAAGTTTGTAAGTTGTAACCATAATTTAACCCAAACATGGTTAATTGATTTATTATAGTAAAAAAAAATAAGCAATCAAATTTTGAGCTGACAAGTATGAATTAATGGATAAAACTTTTCTGCTGCTGATTTAATCAAATGCAATAGAAGATAATACCAAACATTCTGAACTTTTTCTATTAATAAAAGAGAGAAGGTTAATTACTGTCTGGTCTTGTCCAATTTAAAATAATATGGTGTTAGACTATGGGAGATGCGTATATAGATGATAAATATTTTGAACATTATATTAGTCTCGTTTTCATGTATTATCAATGGTAAATAAAAACTTACTAAACTATTGATCCGGAGTATAATGAAAATAATAGCTTAGCCTATAAATAGAGTATGATGATGATTTCTGGTCTTGCATGTAAAATATTTTTTTCATATATTAATACTAATTAATATTACGCACGTATATGTCTGACTGGACATGTTTGCGTGTGAATGTGAACAAGTTCCAAGATGAAATTCGAAATTTTGATTTATAAATCTCGCGACAACAAAGATAATAAAATGAACGAAAAATAAAAGAAAATTACATACAAACATTCACCAAACGGTCCATACCATTATCGTTTAAAACCCCCGAAATTCCACGGGTCCATACTCCATACCATATGTTTACAAATTTCTTTTTGCTAAATCATGGACGTCCCAAGCCAAAATTAGATTAAATTCTACGAGCTGTCCATAGAATTACAGTATGTTTTTTTGTCACTAAAAATGTTAACGAATTATTTGGCAACAAAAAAAATGTTAACTAATGGCCAATTATGATTAAAATAACTCTGACCAAAACTCATAAGACGAATCCTAATAACCACTAAATCATCAGATGGTTATTTGTTTACAACCATCGCAACTACTCCTCACCGTACTTCAATAGTTAAATGATAAAAGTATCGATTAATTTAGCATTTATTTTAGAATGCGGTAGAATTTGTCAACAATCTAACCTTGCATCATCCTTTGAACTAAACTAATTAATATCAATGTATTTGGTTCCGGAGAGAATAAAAGACAAGTGAATAAAGACAGATCGAGAATAGTATTTTTTTAAAACCCAATTACCAATAATTTAATAGTTGTAACGTTAGATAAAAAAGAATATAACAAGACTTAGATGAGTAATTCAATATATTGAAAATAGAATATAACAAAAAAAGTTATTATTTTAGGTTAGGCTGTAACAAAAGAAGACAAAATAAAAGGCTGAGAGAATAATAAATACGAACATTTATTTATGTTTTCGTAAGAGTGGACTCTCTATTGCAAAAGGAACTTGGTCCAAAGAGGTAAAGAGGACGCCAAAAATAAAGAGCCATAAGCAAAATTGTGAACAGTAAGAAACAAAGCTCTCTGAGTTGGCCAACACATCTATTTCAGATCAAATCAACTATATGTATTTAATCTAATTAATCCATACTTTTATTGTTATCTTTAGAATGCACTATAATCCAGTTTTCTGTTTGATTTTTGGGTACCGATATTCTTCCTTTTCAATATAAGAACTGAATTGTTTTTGGTTTGATATGATAAGATTTCAATTTATAAGCCAAATGTCATAAATGTAAATACTCTTTTAGTAAAATACGTTTTACTTGCTTTTCTATTCCATATGGTTGAAATGATGTTACGATTATTCCTAGTATAGAAAAATGACCTTAGTTTTCTATCCGTTTGACTGAATGTATAAATTATGAATACGAAGTTAAATAAGAATGAAAATATTTTTTTTTTCTTAAATAATTTTATTCCATAAAAATGAAAAGATGTATAAATAATGAATAAATAGTTAAAAAATAAAAGGTATTAAATGCAAGGTAGGGTGTGTAAGAACACAGAGAAGCAGGTAAGGTCAAATGAGACACAATAGTTATTGCACTGAGCAGAAGAAGAAGAGTTAGGAAGAGAAAAGAAAATGGAAGTTAATGGAGAAGAAGAGAGAAGTAGAAGAGAAGATGAAGAAAAGGAAGTTTATTATCACTCTCTTCTCAACTCTCCATGTTCTGCCTTTCACAAAACTGTTCAAGCCATATTGAAGTGTCTTGGTCTTGAGTCATCATCAACTTCTTCATCTTCATCATCATCATCACCATCAGAAGAAGAAGACCCGGGAACTGAAATCGTAAGCTCTTCTTGTTTTAACTCTGGTCAGCTCTTATTATTTTTCTTCTTAATAACAACATTAAGAGGGATTAGCGAGACAATCCTGAGCAGAAGTATCTCGAAAGGAAAAAAAAACAAATAATTAGGAATTAAACGTGGAGAAAAAAATAAGTTAATTTAAGAATCTAGGAACTAAACCCTAATAATAATTTGATGTCATGTCAGAAAAGTCATAATATTTGTAGTAAAAGCTATATTTATGTTTGATAATATAGGTTCAAGAAACAGGATTTATGGCGATGGTTACAAGATTGGCAAGAAGGAGACCAAGACCACCTTATAGCTCAGGAAGTCCTGGTCAAATCAACTGATTCTGATTAACACTCTTAAAGATTTGTGTCTGTGTTTATGTGCGTCTTTCTTCATGTTTACTTATGGTCTTAAATTCCTTACTTACATTTTTTGTGTGTGTGTGTGAGTGGTTTGCTTTTATTTTATATTTACATGCTTATTAAATTAAACAAAATTTTGTAAACTTCATATATTTCATGTTTACTCTCTAAAATACGGGATTTACTGATCGTTATATCGTAAGTAGATTCATGATCATCATATATACATATATATATATATATATCTTATGTTGTTATGACCTGATTGTCGTTTTTATATAAATCGGATCTAGTTTTATTACAGTGAGGTTGATAATGAATTTGAATTAAACAGTAATTATCTATAAAAAAAAACAGTATCGTTAAACGGATTGGCAGCATGAACCGCAAATTCTTTCGGATCACTAGATCGTTTTGATAATTTTTTTACAACAAATAAATTTAACTAACAGCATTCCAATCAAAATAAACCTAAGCGAACTGAATGAAAACATATTTTCAAACTCGAGTATATAAGAGACCTCCATTTCGAAGTCCTAGAAAAGATAGAAATGAATTGAAAGAATATTTTTTTTTGAATTTCATTGGTTTCATTAAATAAAAAACCCGACCAGATCACAGGTTTGCCGGTCCAAGCCACCGGGTAAGCTGCTCAACAAGTAAGAAACCAGTCGAACATTGCGCCTTTAAATATTTTATTCATTCTCATATATACAAGAAGAAGAAAAAAAGAAAGAAGCCTAGAGACCATCAATACCAGGTCCTAACAAAATTATCAGACCTTTGTTTTATCTTTTCTTATTTATCCTAAATATACTATAATCTTTCTTCCTTTGTTCCCCAACTAAGATCCTTCCTTGTGTATCTCCTACATCAACTTGCTGCTACAACTAACCTGAGCTTCAAGTGCTTCTCCTGAGATCATCATCCTCGTCTTCTTCTTTATCTCTTACAATGTCAATAACCGTAGCGTTGCAGAAGAAACATCTCTGACAATTGAGAAGATGTCTAGTTATGCAGCCATAACATGATCGATGTGAACACGGAACAATCATCGCATTAGCGTCACCCGCGTAGCAGATACAGCATGTGTTGTCTTCTAACTCCGTCGTGTATTCTTCTTTTCTTTCAAGTTCGTGCGATGAAGCCCGGTTTATGAGATGGTTCAAGAAACTCTCAAGTTGTCCAAGTTTCTTCACATAAGCATCATCCCCGCTTACACAACCGTCCTGTAAAATGTTCAGAAGGCTGTGTCGGTAACAGAAGCAAACGAGCTTAAAACTAGATTTAAGAGCTTACGTACCCAATTATATTCCAAGAGATATTGAAACCCGTAATAGACTGTATCGGGACAGTCCATGCTTGCAAAAAGACCAATAACATCATGTTGTTGCTTCTGTTTTGAGTCTTCGCTAGCCTCCAAGAGATTCAAGATTATGCCAACCAAAGGAGCTAATAAGATCCCTCGACTAATTTTCTCTGATGGCTGTCCTTGCCGTCTAAGTGACCTGCCAGAGCTCAAAACCGGAAGAAGGAAAAAATCTATTAATCTGAGCGATTTTTCAACCGTTTTAGAGCTGTTTGGAACATGTTAAAGAACTTACAGTTCAAAGAACTCGTCATCTACTGGTGAGGTCATGTGATTCAAGATGAAAAGGATCAACTCAGTGAGCCTACGAAGATTTGTGTCGGTCCCAGCAAGAAATGCTTGCGGTATTGCGTATGTGCAGAACTCTAAGACTCTTGCGAGATTGCTTGAAAGCTCAAATATCACACAACATTTCCTTTGCTGAAACTCCATTACCTGCATAAAGACAAGCCGAATCACAAACCGGTCAAAGAAAAGAACGAAGCAGACCACAAATACTTGCAAGGGTGTTGCAGATTATACAACACAAGCATTCTGAGAGAACTAATCAATTACAACGGAAAGGATCCAAGCTTATAATCTAACCTGATCCTTTTCTTGCATTTCTCGCACCGAGACAGAAAATTCAGTGATGGTCCAGCTCAGCGTGTTGAATAGTCGGTTAAGAAAAGTAGAGAGTAATTCACCATCAGTGATACAAGCATCTCGTATAAGAGCCTAAACAAAAACAAAAAAAAACAAAAAAGAAAATCAAAATCCAATATGTAGGCTGAGGATCAAATATGCAAACAGTTAAATCAATCAAACCAACCTGGAAAACTGGAGATGAAAACGAAGACTCCCCATTCTTTAAGGAACTAAACCCGGAACCTTTGCAAAGACGAAGAAATATATTTGTGACAGGGATCCAAGATCTGTTGTCAAACGCTGACAAGAGTGCTGCAGGCATGTGCCGAGTAGCTGCCTCGTTGTTCTCAAAAGCTTCCAAATACTCTTTGTATTGTACCAAGACAGATATTGACTGCAGAAGGAGATCTCTAAGATCTATGTTCGATATCCTTGAATCGTTGAAGTGCGTAACTACGAAAGTGATCTGAAAACCCAAGAATTTGCGATGACCATGTTAGAGCCATTGCAACCTACCTAAAGCTAATTAACTGAACTCAGCCATGATAGAAAAAAAAAAAAGTGTGATAAGAGATTAAGGCATACGAATGACGACAATCCTTGTTTGATGAATGTCGTTGATGGGACAAACGGAGGATCACTCTTGCGAAGCACATGAAAACAGTCTACCTGAGGAAAATATCATAGAGATTGTTAACTTAAAAATCTAAAAAACAGAGATAACATGTTCATATTAAGTAGAGACCTTGAACATAATAAGTTCTTGGAAATCATATTAATTGGAGACTTTAAACAAAGAGCAATTGAAACATATTCCACTACTATCAAGAAGTACCTAAACGGGAAAAAGCTATTTACCAAAGATTCAAGGTAGAACTCTGGAATATAAACAAACACAGAATCCATTTTGCTGAGAACCAGAAGTAACTGTACAACCCACATGCACAATGCATACATTCCCCTTTGCTTCCAACGAGAGAACAATGAGATGCGGAACCTGTAAAAATGATTCAGAGTGAGGAAAGGCGGAAACATAGAGATATAAGCACTGTAACATTGCCTCACATGAATCATGATTAGAATCTTCACTACACCCTCCTTAAACGTTACCGCAATCCAAGAGTTAAAAGTGAAACTTACCATGCGGAATGTCTAACACACTCCATCACTTCTTCCTTGTAGTTTTTGCGAGCTTCCTTCAAGCGCTTTAATTGGTCAATAGAAGTCCGTTCTCTTATCTGTTTATCCGTTTCCTCGAGAAGTGTTATTGATTGCGATTGGTGGGACATGTAATATGATGCCTAAGCAAAAGGACAACCTATCAGCCTTTCAAGCTTATTTGGGTTGCGGCATGTATCATACAAACAGTACATCATCATCTAAACAAAAAAGAAAAACTAAACTTACCTGCTTAAAATTTGGAGCGACAGCAATATGGTATAACAGCAATAGAGCATCCAATAGTTCTTCTTCGCTTAGTATAGCCGATGATATTCTACTCTCTTGTAATGCAGTCCTCATAAATCTTACCGGACGATAACCAAAGTCGGGGTCAGACTGATTACTTGTGCTAGGCTTATCCTCGATTTCTTCACTGAAACTTCCAGTACTACAATCTGCAGCAACATGAGAGGATCTCTCAGGGATGGAGCTGCATTGACCACGAGAACTTTTAGCAGTATTTTTTCCTCGATCCTTCAAGGATTTAGTAAGATCAGTATCATAGGCTAAGCAACAGCATGGCTTCCGCTCAGTTGCGTGAGTTACTCTATTCTGTTCATCATCCATACAACCTTCTTCCCACCGCATTATTTCTTCTTCTTGATCATCTGTGGGGTAGGACTTCGATATATGGCTAAACAGCCCCCCAAGCCTAGTGATATCAGCTCGATGAGGATCATTTTTAAGAAACAAACTCAATGGAAACTTCTGCTGACCACCTCTGTGAAGAAAACCAACATTGTGATTGACGGCTTCACTACTCTTCAGCATTGCGAAACCTTCTGACAAAAAATGGAGTATAACCGAGAACAGAGAGACAAGAACTGAATTGCGTGTAACTCCAGGAGGGGCCAGATTCCTGTCTGCGCCTCTGTTCTTCAGTAAAAGGTTCTGTAGGAATCCCCTGAACGCTGAACCGGGAAGCTGGGGCGGCGATACGGGTGGTATGAATTGTATGACCAAGAGACAGAGATTCCTCTGCTTCTCCTCAATCTAAATTCCAATAAAAAAGACTTAATTAATCATGTTCCAGACAGCTATATCTAGAGCAGATTTATGCCTGTAATGTTTATAGCAAAAGAAAATCAGTCAGAAAGATTCTAACATACCTTGTTAATGGCTTCGGAGAGAGCAGAGATCGTAAATCCCATGCTACTCTCGTAGGATATATCTTCACAGGATCCAGGCCACCAAACAACAGGCATTAACTGATGTAGGTCATGCTTGTTCGAACTCCTGCATGACAAGAAACCTTCGAACAAAAACTCGAAATGCAAAGATCTCCACCACTGTATCATCAATTCTTCCCGTCTTAACAAATGACAAGCCAGTGCAAGATACGGATAAGGTCCTGAGTATGGACATTCGGTTAAATTCAGTGTCGCTGTTTTGCAGCCACAAGCAAGAGCGTTCACTATATGCTCAAAGATCAAATGAGATTGTGGAAACTCAAGAAGCACATCAAGAACTTTGTCTAAACTTGAACAATCATGTGGTGCTTGAGTTCTGAAGATCTCCAAGAGAAATGACAGAAATGCACCGCGTCCTACGTACTCAGGCAACATAGGGTCTTGCTCGAGTATGTAGAAGAACTCATCACATATGGCATGGGAAACAGGGGAGAAGAGTTCTTCAACAGAGGCAAACCTCCTCAGTCTACTTAACGTATCAGCCAACGAGCGGTCCGGTCTATCCAGCAACCTTGAGAAGCATCTTAGTAGCTCTGTAGCAAAAGCACTTCGAGATGGAGCTTCTTGAAGAGGTTGGAAACCCTCTACAGGGTACTTAAACGGGTAAGCACCAAAATTTAACTCACATCTCTCACCTTGGGAGAGAGAAACAGCAGGGTAATAACCGAATCCAGGTCCAAGTTTTCTGATACCAGAAAATGCAGTCCCGAGGGAAACGCCATTTCTG